TAAAATAGAAAGTGTCCAACGATACTTCACTACTAGGATTTGACTGCGAAAAGGACTATACATCAAGGTGTATAATCCTAGGTATCGACCCATTCTGGATGAGACGACTGAGCATTAACCTAACATTCTTCTTTAAAATATTGCATCAAACATCATTCTCAGACAGTAAGGAGATACAGTTCTCACCGGAAGGCTCCTACAACCTGCGTAACCAAACGTGCACAGTATCTAGGAAAAACCGTAAGACAACACTCCGTGCAAACTTCTTCACAGTCATGTACTCTAAGATCTGGAACAGTTTACCCCTAGAAATAAGGACCTGTGACTATTATAACCTTCAAACGCTTGCTATATAAACTGCTTCATCCTAATGACTGTGCCAATCACACCGCACCACTTATTTCTAAAACGCATGAGCTATTAGAACACTATAACGCCTAGACTCATTACTAAATATTATGACAATAAATAAACCTTAAGACCTCGCAAAAATACATGAAAGGACAACTAGATTATAGGTAGTGTTTACTATACAATGATATACATTTATAAACATTTATATATACATAAAATATTAATGTTTTCTTCATTTTTACATACTTTATCTTTCTGCTATTCTGCTGCTGAGGTTACTCTTCTATATACCTCCTGGTCGAGGTCGAACAACCCAACATCCAAACTGAAATGACCATTTAAGTAAATTCAAACTCAAATTCCATGAACGATCCGATGCAACCACTTGAAAACGCTGGCTAACATTCTGTACAAGGATTATTCTTGATCTGATATAAAGCAACAACTGGTTTTCAAGCAGTTTTCAATGAATTACTCAACTTGCATGTACAGTCTACCATGCTGACGCAAATGGCGCAAATGGATAGTTCTAGAATTGACCTCGGCCCCATTTGATGCAGTAAAACAATCTAACATTACCTTATCTAATTTTCTTATCAAATTTCTTTCCTATTATAAAACTACGATTAGACTGCTGAAAAAACGGAATAAATACATTATTGACTCAAAATAATACATCAATAAACTTTATCTCAAGGATGCTGTTCACAACAAAGTTATATAGGAGAATTGACTTCAAGCTTTATTTTTCCCAGATATTTGTATTACATTCATCTGAAGTCTGGGTTTTTTGTTAATGCGAAGACAATATTTTCTATATCTCTTAATGTGTTACACAGACAGACTATTTTGCAGACCGTTCTGACTGACTCTAATGTTAGATTGAACAAACAAACTGCAAATTCACCATACATCGAAATATGTGTAATTTATATAATAACTTATTCACGCCTGTACAATTGGTATGTTCCTGCATAAACGGTAATAAATATATATACTCTAGTGTTATTCAAATGGAGTTTTGGGATCACTAGAAACTACACTTAGCAGTTATTCAGAATATTGCTAGCACACCTGTTGAATAACGGAACCACCTTCGTCGCGAGATCTGTTGATAAGTTCAAAGTTGGTCTCGTATACAACTGGAAAGCCCACAATTATGGTGTACTTAGTGGTGACCTTGAAATTTTGAAAAAGTATTAATTTATGATACTTCAGGATTGTAATTTATAGCATAAGTGATCGTTTCTGTAAAAATGGCATGCACTTCTTGTAAACACCCGTTTATACGATACATAAACTATTATTAACATCAGTAAGGTCACTATACATAGTCAGAAGCAATTTACATAGTATAATGCGAGACACTGTCACTGTTTAAATACAGCCAAAATGGGTGTATAACTGAAGGCTGTATTAAAAGCGGCAGGGACGATAGGTTACTCATAAAGTGGTGAAATTATCCTGCAAAACGTTGGTTGGTTTAATGATAATGATGTCTTCAGCACTGGTTCCTATCAGCAACAGCGCTCATGGTTGCAGTGTGGCCACCTGTTCTGCTAGGCCTGAACTTTTGCCACGCTATCTGCTGCCCCTTTAGCCTGGCCCTCTCAATTGGATGGTCAGGCTGTGCCCTTGAAATAGTAAAGACAGACGACTGGAACGCTGGAAAGAACACTACGAAAAGCAATTTAATTGGCCTACAGTCACGCTCAAATTACCCAGAGTCCAACACCTCCCCGAATGCGACATAAACACAGATCCTCCGTCCCTGACTGAGGTTACCAAAGCTGTCACTAGTCTGAAATGAGGCAGAGCAGCAGCACACGATGGAATGACTCCAGAGGTATTTAAGTACGGTGGAGACAGTTTACTGTCTGCATTAACTGAGGTTCTAGGCAGCGTCTGGGAATCAGAGATAGTCCCGTCGGGTTGGTGTAAGTCACTGATCATCCCGATATAAAAGAAGGGAGACAAGTCTTCTTGTGATAATCACAGAGGGATTAACTTGACTAATATAGTATCTGAAGTCCTAGGCTGAATAATAATGCGTAGACTAAGCGGTGTCCGGGAGGCACAAACACGAGAGAACCAGGTAGGCTTTAGACCAATAAGAGGGTGTACTGATCATATCTTCATCCTTTCACAGATTCTGGAACATAGGCATACTTACCGTCGGCGTCAAACAATCGTCATATTTCTTGACCTAAAGGCGGCATTTGATTCTGTCGACTGAGAGGTTCTCTGGCAATGCTTGGCTGTGAAAGGAATGCCGAGAAAATACATCACACCAATCAAGGCACTCTACTCGAACTCATGTAGTCAGCCAGGTGAGAGTCTATGGAGAGTTATCTTCTGAAGTGATGACAACTAGCGTTGTCTGCCAGGGATTCCCACTATCCCTGTCTCTGCTTAATTTCATTATGGATGTACTAATGAAATTAACCCTAACTGACTTCAGCTACTCGGGGATTGACTTGTTACCATCAGAGAATAATGTCGCTGACTTAGAATATGCAGACGATACAGCCCTTCAAAGTGAAGACGATGACAAAATGCAGAGTCTTCTGAACACCTTGAGCAGCGAGCAATCTCCTAATGTTTGGCATGCGATTCGCTCTCGCTGTCAAACATAAGATGGTGTTACAGGACTGGACTACCCTGACTCCGAATTTAGAAATAGGGAGTGAAGTGGCAGAGCTCGTTGACCGCTTCACTTATCCGGGTAGTACCATCAGCCCCAACTGGTTGATCTCTGACGAAATCTCAGCACAGATACAGAGGGCTAGTTTCGCATATGCCTGTTTACGCCGTCTCTGGTGTAGACGTGATATCCGGCTGGCTGTCAGCAGTCCGCTCTATCCTCCTTTATGGCTGTGAGACCTGGCCACTGAGAGTGGAATACATGAAAAGATTAGCTGTCTTCGATCATAGGTGTCTGCGTTCTATCTCCCGTGTGAAGTGGTATAATAAGGTGGGCAATATTGAGTTTAGGCGTCCGTCGAGTGCTAGGTAAGGAGGAGAAATCCATCGGCGAGGCTGTGAAATTACATCGACTGAGATGGTCGGGACATGTGTTACGTATGCCTAGTCATCCCCTTCCTCGACGGGCAATGCTAGCTGATATAGTGTCAGGCTGGAAAAGAGCTAGCGGCGGTCAGACGAAAACATGGCACCAGTCAATAAAATCCACAACAATTAGTCTAAGCCACGTAGGAAGGTGTAGACTTCCTGACTGGTTGGGGTCCTCGGGACGGTAAAAACCAATGAAGGCTGGAAACAATTGGTGATATGGCTCAAAATCGTTCTTAATGACTGGCGCAGATGCATCCACTCCTTGTGATTAATGATTTCAAATGAAACTATATTGCTCTTCGTTATTACTATTATTTTGTCTCACACCCCTGTTTACTGTCTCTATTTTGCATTTCTTCTACTTTCTTCTCTTGCTTTGTGTGCTACACGGAGGGAGTGTGGCGACTTGAACTGCTGCACATCGGTGCAAAGTTTCATGTCGAAAACAAACAGACAGACAGACAGAAGGATTATCACAGGGTGCTGGAGGATCTAGTCACTCTTGATAATTACAGTATAATAAAAGGACTGACATCTAACATGAGCAGATGTTGAGCCACATTTTTCTCCGCACTGGTAGCACAGAGCGTGGTTTAGGTTACTCCTGACGGTAAAACTGGATGTATGCACCAAGTACCCATGGAGACGCGAACAGGACTACCACAACACTCACTTTGTTACCGTACAACTAGTGTGGTGAGAGATGGTTGCTAGCCAAATTGGTAGACAGTAATTGACGTCAATGTTTATGTCTCAAATATTATTCATGTGAAAACAAGGTCAAAGATGGACAGCAGACTTTGCGTAGGCGGATACAGTTAACATATAGATGACCTGACACAGCCACAAAGAGATTCAAGGTTAACTTTGTGTGAGAAACAACCAATCAAAGACTGTATTTTCTACTAACATTAATCTACAATAATGTACGTTAAAATCTATAAATATGTGTTGATTTTCCTTAATAAACGATCTGTTGCCTGACTCTTGCCTTCTGTCGTTACACTAGGTGCACATCAACTGAAAATGCTTACAGTCAAAATTAAAGGTAGCTACAAGATCATGAATTTTCTTTTTGGGGTGCCAGCCGTGTGCAGTTTACGATGTCTTTATGACCAGGAAAATGATTGCGAAATCACAACTTGTTTTTATCACCTCAGTCTACCGTTGGCCTCCCCAGCAAAATTTTTGCTCACTACCTGTAAATCACCCATATACTTACTCATCTATGTGTGTGTGTTAATTTACTCTATGTTCCTTCTAATTTTCCTATTTTAACTACTCATCTTAACTCGGAAGTTGACTGTTGTCTATATTCAAATTAGTGCTAATTATTAGCTTGGGGAAGATAAAACAGACCCACGAATTGATTCTGAGCCAACGGCCATGTGGCTAGTCATACCTAAAAGGTAAATTTCACTTGGAAGGTTTTCTGCACTCTGAAATATTCAAACTCAAGGGTTTACACAGCTTTTTGTTTGGGATGTGTGCTGAAAGTCATTTAGTGGCTGCATGAGTTTATCTTCACTATTTATCCTCACTTTTGAGTATTATCAATTATTAGGGGTCACCAGACAGGAAGTTTTCATTACTTTTCATATGAGTGACGAAGAGCACTAGTGACTCATTGTTTTAATCTGTCGCATCCATATTGACTAACGTCACAATGGCGCACCAGGCGAAAAGATCGAGGTATGATGTCCTCGCGGCAGCAACTGCCCAGTTTTACAACACTACTGGTACAGTCCCAGCAAGCCTTCAGTTAGCGACAGATATTTCTTACTTGGTCACCAACCAGCCAAGCTGCACCATTGTTGTTGCGGATATTCCGGAGGGTTGTACGGAGAGAGATTTGATTGGACTCTTTAGCAGATTTGGCCAAATCAAGAATGCAAAGTTGGTCTGCAGTGGTCGAGCAGCTCTTGTTGAGTTTTGTGAGATCTCGCCTCCTACTCGACTTGTCCATATGGCGAAGATTAATCCTTTCTGCGTTGGTCCAAATCGTGTTAGACTGGAATTCTCATCTGAAGTTATAACTTCTGTTGACCGTAAACATCCACATCAATCGCAATCTTCAACCATAGACAATAGTAGTCCTACTCGTATTCTACACTTGGATATCGCAAATGCTGAGTACCCCATAACAGTTGATGTAATCAAAGCGATTTGTTCCCCTCATGGAAACATACTACGTACTTTTATTGGGAAAAAGAACCTCGATCGTTCACTGGAAGCTTTAGTTGAATTTGAGAATGTGGAAGAAGCCCGAGCTGCAAAAGAGCAACTCGATGGTGCTGACATATATTCTGGCTGTTGTAACCTAACAGTTGGATATTCGAGATTACAGCGTGTGCATGTAACTCAAAATGATAGCGAGTCTTGGGACTTCACTGGTCCAAGCGGCAATGTCGAAGGACCTCTTAATAATTCGTCGACTCAGCGTACGTTACTCGGCCCAGCGGCTCCAGTTGGTGGGTTAACTCCAGCTCCATCAATTTTGCCACCACCTGTGCCTGCTGCTCCACTCCCAGTATATCCTGCCCAGCCATATCAGCAACCCCAGCCACCTATGGGTTATTATGGGATGGGTCCGTACGCTTCTCCGATGTGTGCTGTTCCGCCTGGCGCCCAATTCGCTGCTCCAGCATATCCTGGGTACTGGCCAGCAGCAATGATTCCACCTACCGGTGTCCAACCTATGCGACCACCTAATGACACTGGCTTCACAACCCCATCAAGAATTGTTATACTTCCTACTCCACCTCCTGTGCATCAGGTAAACACTAATGGTGTTGGGATAGGCCATTCAACGTCGAATCTGTCTATTTCAACTCCAGCAACTCGTCAATCAGATCTTTCAGTCTTTGAGGTTATTGAGGGTGTAGTGTTAATGGTTAGCAACATACCGCAGCGTATGAATTGTGATCATTTATTCAACCTCTTATGCTTGTATGGTAATGTAGCACGGATCAAGTTTTTAAAGACTCGTCCTGGTTACGCCCTAGTTCAGGTCGGGAATCCAGAGGCAGCAGATCTTATACATCGATACTTTAACGGAGTGTGCGTTTTTGGGAAGAATCTACAACTTCATCATAGTAAGATCACAGAGCTAAAGGAGCATGAGAATCTGGGGACCTTATCGGACGGATCACCGGTTATGAAGAATTATATGAGTAAGTTTTGATAATGGTATAATAAACGAAAATGTTAGGTTAAATCACCGTTTTAAGGATTTGATCGGTAACTCATTTTTATTTATCTGGCTTAGTGAGGATTATAAAATCTCTTGATTAAATGGTCTTAGTACATTATTCTTGAATACCAGCAGTAGATAATAAAGAAAATTTATTTTGAAATTAGTTGCACACTACCACATACATCAAAACAGTTGAATTGGTTAACTCAATGATTTAACGGAAGGTGACCTGACATTTTTTGATCACTTTATTTTATATACGAAAGTAGCAATAATAGTGAGATTTTAATGTTGAGTTTATATTCGATGGCATATTAGTTCATAAATTTAGTGGTTTTGTTATCTTAGTTCGTGTAACTTCATCTCCACATAAAGAGCTTTGATTGTTCCTTATTCCTTGAAAGTCACACTGACCTGATGGTAACGATCAAACATTATTATCAAAACGAAAACTTCCTATGGTTTCCAGTGTCCAAACCAGGTATATGTAGCATTTGAGTGGGGAACCAGACTGCATACCGGCCGTACTAGGTCGTTTTTAGAAGAGTTCACTGTCTGTTGCATGCTAGTTGAGACAATTAACGATTGCATTCTTTCTTTTCATACGGCTTTACATTAAGAGCTCTGATTGTATTCTACTCGTTGAAAGTTCCACTCACCCTACAGCAATGACCAAACATCCATACTATCGGCAAACTGGACATCTAGTTAGCTATCTCGTTTCCATGCCGATTTTTCGTTGCTGATAGCTTAAGGGTAATGGATGACATCTGATACCGGATGTGGCTTTATTGCTCGTAGTGGAGATTGTTGCTATTTAATTAGTTGAGAGCCGGGTTAATAACAATGAAGTTTCTGTTAGTAGTGTATTAGCCAGTTTTACAAGAGGATGTCGGTTTAAATACTAAGGTTATGTTTTACTTTTTTTCCTTATAAATTAAAGTGGATCCAAACAATCGATTCAGAAATTCAATGGTGGCAGCAAAAAGTCGGATTTTGGAACCTTCTCGTACACTTCATTTCTTCAATGCTCCACTTAACTCTACACCAGAGGATATTTGTAGAATATTCACGGATAGTGGTGCAGTGGCACCACCACGTGTAGTGATATTCACGACTAAAGAAGGCCAGAAGACTTCTCTTGGTAAGTTGTTTTGTTGTGGGATTTTACATTATATTATCTAGTGGTCACGTGGTTAGGACCAACAAAAAGACGTCATTTTAGGCCAGTTTACCGTCCTTAGTGGTAATGATCCGTTTTAAACACGGTCTGTAACTATCGCTAGGTCTGGAAATAAGGTATAGTTATGTCAACCTGAACCATGTATATTTGACACTTTTCAGCAATGCACAGAATTACTAGGTTGATATTCAACTTAGCTTATCAGCAGGTGACGGTAAAATGTCGAAATCTAACTAAAAAATTGGTTGCTAGTAATCCACCCAATAAAGTCAACTGTAAGAGCATGTAATCCCTTTTGAAGTCTTCTAAGTAATTTATGTAAACGTTGTAACCCAGTAGGCTGTTACCTTAACACATACATCGCACTTTTATGTGAGGCAACGACATCCTATTACACAAACAGAAGTAGGCTGGACTAAGTCGTCGCACCAAAACCCTTGGGACAAACCTATGTCCTTCACTACTATCTTCTGGTGATGTAGTGTCTACTGAGCAGTGTACATGGTCTAAGTATTTGACATTGTTCGCTACCTGCTGGATGGAATCTCACCAGTAATTCTTCGTATCATTTGCACCTCAAGTTATTAGAATAGTGGCTTATAGTTTATGACAAATAGAAAAGGCTTTTGCAAACTTACTGTGGACATACTCATACTGATGTGTTGGGGTGTGTGTGTGTGACCCATATAAGATGTCTAATCCTATGTGTACCGACAAATACAACTTTGACGTGGAAGTTTCAGGGATTGGAGGTGCAGCTGACTGGCTGAAGTGGTTGGCTTTTCAGCTGACAGGTCCTTGGTTCGTATCCCAATTAACCTACTTCATCCCTTGCCAAGCTGTTTGGTATTATCAGTCCTCATATAATATGTGGCCCACATCATGGTGTATAAAGAGTCTGTTCCAAGTAACTGTTCTCTAACCACCAAAAAGTCTCATTGACTCAGAATATGCTGGTGATATAGTTATTTGGTTGAAGACGCTGACGGAATGCATAGTTTTCTGAATCTCCTGTGCAAAGTTCGTCGGGGAGAAGGTTCGTCCCCGCATGCTACCAGATTGGTCTCTATCAGCTTCTAATTTAGGCATACAGAAGGCTTAGCAGTTCAGTGTATTCGCCACTTTCTTTATTTGTGAAGCGAATCCAAACAGGTATGCAAGTCTTTGGTATATGCCTGCCAACATGCAATATCTTCGGTTACCTACCAACGGGTACCTAAACTGCATATTTTTTGTTTTACTTAACGGCTGTGTAACAAAGTGGGTAAAAGTAGGGAATAAAAAGATTGGAGGGTGGTTGTTTGGGCATGGATATAAACGTACGGTTTCTCGCGTTAAGTGGGTTGGCGTGGTTGGTAACTATCATTACCTTAGGTGAAGAAAGTGAAATAATCGCTTCTTTTTCGGAGTAACCAAGAAGTTAGCTGCGTCGGTGGTATAGCGGTTAGGACGCTCGCCGAGCATCCACATGGCCCGGGGTTCGAACCCCGGCCGACGCACTCCTTTACCTCGCTAATCCAGAAATAATTCTGGTGAAGAGGAAAGGTTGGGCATGAGGCTAGCAACCCCATCCTGTAAAATAAACACTGCTACAAAAATTTCTAGCCACTAGCTTGGAGCCCTATGTTCCACTGGGGAACGTGAAGGATAAAAAAAGAAGTTAGCTACGTGTAGCGACTACCGCTTGTCCAGCATTGGAGACTAAAAGAAGGATTAGTTTGGAATATATCGAAATTTGTCTCACCGAAACTCTGCACCAATGCACAAAGGTCTAATGACAACGTAACAATGTGAAGTCCGGGAGTGTTACAGCTTCTCGCATTATCCTTGGAAACAGGTTATAGATCTCAAACATTGTTTTTTACAAGCTTTAGTCAGTTTGTCGACTTTTTTATTACCTGCTTAGTGTTATTTCATGAACCTTATCATAATCACTTGAATAATAATATAACTTTGATATAAGCTGTAAAAGTGGTATTTGATTTTATTTCCTTCGAACAGGATTAGTCGAATGGGATACTTTAACCGAAGCACTGGAGGCCTTAATTCTAGCCAATCATCGACCAATTCATTTATCTGGATTCACTCATCCTTTTCATTTGAAAATTGCCTTCAGTCCAAAGCCTATATCAGAGGACAGAGCTGGTGTCTCCTTAATACGTTATCCTGCACCTCCTCTGACGTCTACTCAACGTCATTATAATTCATTGTCCGCTAACGGTCAACGAACTGTAGAGAAGTCGAATAGTGTTAATAATAATGACGAACCAGAAGATGAATTGGAAATTCTTTCGAAGATAGAGAAAGCTGAAGGCTGTGAGAACTCTGAATCGAAAACGGCTTCAGATGCCGCAAAGTCCGGTTCAACTAAATCATCGAAAGATGAAGAGTCTAAGGCTGCGTCGAAAGTCACAGAGAATGGAGATAAGGCATGATAGATATATAGCTAATATCTATATATATATTCGGTTTATATTTTGTCTAAGAAAAATGACTTTTTCATTTTAGTTAGCTTATAATATCTTTCCCATCCTCCCTCAGCAATGTTTATTATTGTTGTTATTAGTATGATTATCATATACGAGTTAATAATCATCGTTCAGTTTATTTCCACCTCATGCCTAACTTATGCATCATGTGTGTGTATAGGGATTTATTGTTTCTCGGTTGCATAGAACTCGTGTTTACGAAGGTTGTAATGTTGTGTGCTCTAATAATTCTTAAAAAGGTTCTAACTGACTAGTTAGTAAATCTTGTTTTATTATTTCTATAGGGGTGAGTGTATTATAATATGCCTACTGCCTTTATTTTAACACTTATTTAATTACTATCTTTGCTCAATGATAAAACAGGTTTCACACAAAGTCTCGGGTTCATGTGAATCATGTCTCTTAATCATCATTCATAGTTATTCATTAATCATTCATGTTTTCTGATGTATTAATATTATTATTATTATCGTTACTAAATTTCTACTATCTAACACCTTTAATGTGTTCGTTTATACAGTAACAATAATCATTATTATAATTCATGTTTATATGTGGTTCTAATAGTTTCATTGACGTAAAATATATATTTTTGAATAAAAAAGTCAATTTATTCTATAATGAGAGCATACTATATAAATTATATCACCATGTAAAACCTGATAGGCGTCTTTCTGTTACTATGCCCACCCAACCCCCAACATCCTGCAGCATTTTATTTTCAATATTTTATTCCTTTGCGTTCCAAGTGGAACATAGGACTTCAAGTTTGATCTTTAAAGTTTCAATCAGTAGCAGTGGTGTTATTCTGTTTTTAACGGAATATTGAAGTAACACTAGCCTCACGCTAGTCCAACCTTCCCCCTTTACCTGACTTGGTACCGATTAAACAGCGAGGTTAAGGAGCGCCTTGTCGGCCAGGGTTCAAGACCCGAGCCACTTGGGGCGTTGTTGGCAAATACTCTATCGTTGAACCGCCGACGCACATCCTGTAGGAAATTTTCACATGAATTTTATTTTCTTAATGTTCAGACCTGGTATATGTAGGCAAATCATCAAATGTAGCTTTCTAGGTAGTTATCATGTGTATAATTTAAGTGTGATTGTTTGTACTTGATGTGATGATTGATATTAGTTCCGTCTAATAAATTGATGTAATCAGGTGGTGATGACGCCCTGTGCGGCCTCACCTTTACATTCACACAACAAAGTCAGTTTAACACACTTAGATTTTTTAAATTATGGATTCTGTGATAAGTGTATACGTATATTGCTTTAAAACTTTTGATACTTGTCTTTTCTTCACAGTGTAATTTCTTTTTTTTGTGATATTCTCTGAAAAATATTTGAACCGTGAATTTTGTATTCTTGACTTCCGGTTGCACGATAACGTATTTGGACGGGATAGTCTTAGGTTTAGTTTCAATGATTGGCGCGTGTTGTAGTTTTGACGAGCTTCATTAACACAAAGGTGTGATTCGTTACAGATGTCAGTGTTCGGTTTTTAGTGTAAGAGGTGTAGTAGTTGCTCCCGTAATTCGCGTTGGTTTGGGTTGAATGTAAGGCGTGTGTAAATGCGTTCTTCGACATCAGGAGAGAATCTGTAATGCGTAGCAAAATGAATTTTCGTAAATAGTTACAAGTGGACTTCATTAACTGTACTCTTTCTCGTACCTATGTTGTAAGCTTTCGTGGGGGTTGTCCTACACTTAACTATGGTCTTTGAAGTATGCAGATGTAATCATAGGTTTCTGTTTTTGTATCTCAATTGCAATGAGCTCGGCCACTTGTAAACGCTACACCTTCCTTCACTGGACGTCATACTCGTGTATGTTCCATTCTTATTTCGAGCTTACAGAGTCGCAAACATTGGATAATTATGGACCCTGTTGTTGTCACTTCAGTCGTAAATAAATGCAGTTTTGCTACTACATGCATTTGACTGGCGAGTCTGGAAAACTTCACATATTTTAGTATCAGTAACTGTTAAGTGGGAGTAACCGAGGAAGTTGGTTCTGCTGCCTACTCTTCATCTTCACATGTATTTCTCCTACTTTCTTCTCTTCCTTTGTCTGCTACATGGAGTGTGGCGACGTGAACTGCCGCACATATGTGCAAAGTTCTATGTCGAAAACCGACCAACCGACCGGTCTTCACATGCTGCTGTAAGCTTTTTGGAGAGGTGTAGTTATGTAGAAGTGTCGATATTGCGTTTTTTCCATCTGCAATTTTTGTCTCATTGAATTTTCGTATTCACAAAAAATCCTCATTTAGATATCCAGAACAAGGAATGACGTGACTTTGCGAAGATACTCTCCCCCGTTCAATTTCATTTAGTGCATCTGTACAGTCGCAACTATGGATATGTTTCCTGAATGTGTCCAATGAGTAACTGGTAGGATAAATACGGAGTCGTGTTAAGATCAGTGAGTGTTAGTGAAGATATAGTGTGAAAGCATGGTAACGGTTGCTCAGTGACGATGAATTCTTGACAAAGGGATCATCACAATAAATGCAGAAATAGAAAAGTGGTGATATTACACGTCGTAATTGAGTTGGATGAGCTTTCTTCCATGTTTTATCCTTATTGACAATTGCAATATTATAAACGGGTTAGCATCAAGAAAGGAGGTAACGTTGGACAGGTTTCTTCTGTATACAAAGCTAAGGCTTTTGAAATAATAGAGGAGTGCAGCTGAGGTCTTAGTATAAGACCTGCGCTGAAAATGTTTCAAAGGACGATGTGAAAGCTACGCAATTAAATGAACTAGCTCAAAGGACAGTACTAATGCAAAGCTAAGACTTCTTAATTTCTTGTGATTTTGGAACGTGGTAGTTGTTAGATCTCGTTATGAGCTGATATCAGCAGTAGAGAACCGTTGGGAGACCAAGGAGTACTATACAGCTGTTTCCTCTTAGTTTCGAGCTCTTCAGCGTCGTGCCTACACTGGGTTTCAAAAGCAAGACTTTCCGTCTACAAGGTGAGCTTTGCTACGCTATTAATTCACTAAGGGGACGCGGTGCGAAAGATAGGTTTAGGTAAATGAATAATAAATAAGATACAGTTTGTCAATAATAGTTAAACAAAAATCTCTTAAAGATCAAGTTTAGTTAGCTTAAGGGTGAAAGGCTTATGAAAGATTGGAAAATAAGGTTAACTGTAACAACCTGATCGCGTCATCATGGTAAACAATAAGTTGTCAGAGAGGGGGACTTGGTAATATCAGTAATTGTAGAAAGAGTAGCAACAGTTGTAGTCGTCCGACATTTTAAGACGGGCTAATAAAAAGATGAGATCAAAATGGTAGTAACAACAACAAATCAAGTGTAAGATATTTAGGTTGGAGATTAACTGGTGCTATGCGCCTAGTCCTTTGTTTGGTGCAGACTGGATTGTATCAGTCATGTTTGAAGTGTAGCCACCATGTCAGGAGGTTTGCCTTCATAGTGCATTGTGAATTGTTGTTGTTGGAGGCTATCGTTAGGAGGCCCTGACAATAATGGCAATAACTCAGGCTTTCTGCAGACTGCCCCCAACTACCCAAAAGCAACAATTCACCATGCACTGTGATGTTGAGCCGCCTAGCATGGTGGTCACATTGCTAACATGACTGATAGAATTCAGTCTGCGCCAAACAAAGGATATGACGCGTGATACTAGTTAGTGTCTAATCAAAGTATGCAGTACAGTCCCACAGGAGGTTGATCGCGAGTCCTAATAGCATAGTGGTAACATCTGAATGCACCAGTGGTCGATACGGATTTGAATCTCAGAAGGGGCGTGAGTTCAAGACTTCAGTCAGGCCAGTCTTAGATTTTCCTTGGATCTAAGACAGGAAGTGATACACACAAAAGAAGCCTTGAAACTTAATAATTACCCTGATAAATTAATCAGGAAATATGGAAGGAAACTTTAAAATAAAATAATGATAGTAGTGATAATAATATTAATGACAACATGCAAGTCAATGCGCGCAAGAAAAACCAGCCATAGGGAATATAAATTATCAGCAGTAATTCCATACAAGGAAGGAACCTCGGAAACCTTACGCAGAGTTCTTAGCAATGCTGGTAGGAATAAAAGTGGCTGGCATTCAAACCACCTACAAACTCAATTAGAAACAAGCTTCGTCGGTTAAATGGTGGAGCCTTTAAAACAAAACAATTTAGTTCATCTAATACCCTGCAATGATCGTCAGGTCAAATACATAGGTCAAACTAGTAGAACAGGGGCAGTAAGACTAGCCGAACATAAAAACGTAGCAAAATCTAGATTGGTTGACTGCGTCGGTTGCACAGTGGTTAGGACTCTCGCTGACCGTGCACATGGTCCGGAGTTCGATCCCCTGCCGACGCACACCTGATATCTATGGTCGGCCTGCAAAATTCGGGCTACCGATATCACATGCTGAATATTCCATGCCTGTACCAAAAAATACGATGTGGAATCAAGCTGTAATAAAAAAATGAGATAAGAAATCTAGAGAATTGTTCAGCTATAGCACTACATGCGGTTACACACAACCATTCAATAGGATGACAGTTTTAAAATCTAATGTAACTGGCTGGGTGGAGGGAGAGATTGATAGCAGAAGCTTTGTTTATCGAATCAACTGCAAATACAAGTAATAGGAATGATTCAACACCTGTCCCAGATATCTGGAAAATTCTACTACCCTAACGACGACAAATAGGAGAGGACAAAGACAACCATAAAAGTCAAGTTTCGAAGTCGTGTGATTATAATTGATGATATGATTATGAGCAATAAATTTTGTTCGAAACGGTGTCATCCAGTAAATAATACTGTCTCACTCACTGTGTGATACATCTAATAAACAAACTAATATGGAATCACTTGCTACCAAAGTGCCCAAGGTTCACGCATACATTCATATGGTTACAGTTTTTGTACCAACCATTTAGGCAGTTTATGACGTGATGATTTCAACAATGATAATTAGAGAGGTTTCAAAGGTACGTCTAGTTTGTAGACTTTAGGTTGACCATTCATGAATGGTATGCAGGAACCTGTTGGTTTCAGATCAGTATAGGTATCGTGGTCAGCCATCCTCTCCTAAAGATGCCTGTTTTTCAAAGTTATCATCATATTTTTTTATATTTATGTACCTGGAATTTCGCCTGTCATGCTTTTCCAATCCCGGCTAGTTTTGACATCCCCGTCTATGCTACTTCCTTTATATTTTCCCCGTTGATGGCGATTGGTTGTTGTTTTTGTTGGTTGGGTGCGTCTTCATCACCTCTACCTTTTCTATATTCACTTGAAGTCATGTACTGGCTGCCTCATCAGCCGAATTGTAGGGTTTTACAGATTGTGTGGAGTAAAGTGGTGATAATTAAGGAAATTAGTAATGGTTTAATCACTACTTTCCAGTTAAGGTTATATGGTTATCATAAGATTCTATGTCAGGTAACATAAATGGAAGGGAAGTCACAGTTACAGGATTTCATCATGAGCTGACATCGGTTTGAGAACCATTAGAAAACCAGTACTGGAGCACTGCACAGCTGTTTCGTCCTACTTTAGGACTCTTCAACAGTACGCGCCCAGGGTTCGAACCTAGGGCCTTCAGATTATAAGGCGAGCCAGCTCGTAGACCACTTAACCCCTGGGACCCGATCCAATGGCCAACCCATGAATTCCAACTCACGACATAGCACTATGTCATGATGAAATCCTGTAACCAATCAATCGAATTTAATTGAATTTTAGATTTCCTCATCGATTGATTGGAGCGAAGTGCTCGGTTTCTGGTTGATATATAGGCTTCTTGAGCAGATGCTTCGACGATGTGTGGACGTGTAATTAGAAGTTAATTGGTGGATGGTGACTAGTAGTGGAATCCAGGATGCGCATTTCGTCTTTTTTGGACTAGTCACTGGACGTACCTGCATTCCCCAGTGAGTGATGCAGCTACATCCGGTGACGAGTCCCAAATAGGACGAAATGCGCATCCTGGATTCCACTGCTAGTCACCGTCGACCAATTACAGTATTTTATGAATTTATTAGTTGGCTACTAATGAGTAGTCAGAGTAAATACTCGTTAGAAAAGCACTGACCAAAGTTTTACGATAATTTCCAGCTTCAGTAGAGTTCATGATTAAATTCTTCTCAAAAAGTGGAACATAATGACAAATCTCCTAGTATATGGATCACAGTGCGAATCAACTGATACAATTCAAGCTGGATCAAAATTAAGGTTTAGTGTCGTGACACTAGTGAGACTCTAGTGACCGATCAATGTAAACATTAGAGAGTAAATATCGTCACGAAACAATACTACTTAGAGAATCACTGTTCGTGAGGAGATATACACTGAAATTAGAAGTTAGAACTCCCGGGT